TATTTAAGTTTAATTCAAAAATAATATTTAGGACTATATAAATGTTACATTTATTTAAAAACTAAATATTTTTAATAAGATAACAAAGAATGTTCTATTATTTTGATTTTGATCATATTTTGTATAATTGTGTAAAACCAAATTAATTTTAAATAAAATCATAATCAGAAATATCTGAAAGATATTATTAAGTAACTTAAAATATTAAATCAATTATAAAATAGATTTTTATATTATAATAATAATTCTTATATATATAAAATTAGAATTATTTATTATTTTTATATACATAAGAATTATATATATAATTATAATGATATATATCTAAATAATATAATTTTATATATAATATAATTTTTATGTAAATGTCTTTTTTACTGTATTTCAAAATAGATTAAAATATTGTAATTTTACATCTTATTATTTATCTTATCCTATTTCAATAATTATCAATATTTTTTTAATATACATAAAATAAATACAATATACTTACCATAATAAGGTAAGTAAACAAATCAAAAATATATGATTAAATTTATTTTAGAGAAGCATTAATTTTTTTTATGTATTTTTGTAATATAGATTTAATAGAATCCAAAAATAATAGTTAATTTTGATATCAAAAGTTATAAAATGAAATATGTGAAGTATGTCATCTATAATGTTAGCAAGAAACAGATTTTTATTTAAAATTAATTCAATATAATTAAATAATTGATTATTTTTACATTGGATTTATAATATCTGAAGATTATTCTAATTTATTAACTTTACTTTATAGATGCAAGAATCTAAATATAATTTAAACATAAAGGAAGCTATTAAATTAACATTAAATATTATATTTAAACTTTTAATATCATGAGAATAATTCTAATTAAAACTAATATTCTAGGATTCTTCCTCAAAAATAATCAATAGATACAAAAATAGATAAAACATTAATTGTTCCCCAAAATAAACTTCAATCATTGACATTTCATTCTGAATCACTGTCAATAACGGTTAAAACTCTTTTAAATGTATTACGTGTTTCACGATGTTTTGTAGGTATTTCAGATATTTTCATTGATTCTTTATTAGGATCTTTATTTCTTTGAGCACGTGTGATACGTCCTAAAATTTTTCTCATTAAAATATTTATAATATTTTATATATATTTGATAAGTTTATAAAATTACAAACCTTCTGAAATAATATTGCTTGTATTTAATTCAGCAACATCTTTAAGTCTTTCATTTCTTTTTTTAGCTTTTTTACATTTCTCTACAGTTGGTCTGCCAATAATTCCATTTTTTGTCAATAATTCTTTGAGACATCTTATTTTTGCAGTATTTGATTTACAATTAGCCCAAAGATCATTATAAGATTTTACATGTATTCCAGCAATTCTAATGTACTTTTTTAACATTTGTATTCTTTTGTCATCTTCAGCTTTCTAAAAAAATACAGAAACATCAATTTAAAAATAAAAAATTTAATATATAGAGTATATTTTAATGAAACTTACTATACTTTTCTTTCTTTTTCCATCACTAGAAGTATTTTCACTGTCTTCACTTTCATTTTCACTTTTGCTTTTTCCTGATTTTATATCAGATATACTTTCTTCTGATTTTAGCTCTTCTGTTATATTAGAATTTTCATCTTCACCATCTAAATTTTCAATTGATCTTTTTATTCCTTTTTTTGCTTTATTATATTCTTTTTTTGATTCTATAGATGATTTTGTAGATTTCTTAAATTTCTTTTTAGTTTTCGGACTATAATCTTCATCTGAATTATCATCATTATTTTCTTCAGAATCAGTATTTTTTATTGCACTGAAAGATGTTCTATTTCTTTTTTTCCCTTTTACAGTTTTCTTAAATTTTAGTTTAGATATATTCTGTAAATCTAATTTATCTTCTTCAGAAGAACTAATTTCAAGTTCTGAATCATTAGGTTTTGCTTTGATAATTATAGTTTTGGGCATAAATTGCCTTTTATTTCTATCTTCACTTTCAGAAGAACTTGAAGATCCTTTATCACTAGCACATTCTACAGAAAGTTCCAAACCTTCTACAACCTCAGCATCTTCAGTTTGAAACTTTCTATTTTTTCTTTTTGGCTTAACATTATCTTCCTTATCAAGCATTTCCATTGTTTCTTCTATTTTAACATTTTCTACATTGAGATTTATTATAGATTCTATATGTACATTTTCCTTTCCCATAATAAAAAAAGAAATATAAAATCATTGAAATGTAACATCTTAAATAATTATAAATATATATACTATTAAATAATAATATATATACTGTAGTTACATAAATTGAAATTAAATAATATAATTTATTACCTGCTCTTTTATATCTAATGAAATATTAGATTCTTTTTCTTTTTTAATTTCAGTTTCATTATTAATTGATATTTCATTATTTTTAATATTAGATGTTTCAACGTACGAATCTTTTGTTATTTCACTTGTACTTTCTTCTAATATTATTTTATCTTTATTATTATCAATTTTTTTTATATCCTTTATATTATCTTTTATTTCTTCAGTATTTAATGCTGAAATATTTTCAATGTCATATTTATCAGATTTTGTTTCATCAATAGATATACATAATTTTTTAGAAGGTACATTTAATGTTTGATTTTCTGAAATTTCTTCTCGTAACCTTTTTTTTCCATGTTCATTTATATCTACAGAATTATTAGAAATTGTTAAAGGTGACATTTCATCCTGTTGTTCTTTATCACTTTGATCAGATTCAATCATTATTTATAAATTTATCTAAAATTAAAAAATATTATATCTAAAACAAATATAAAACATATATAAAACAAATATAAATACAAAATATAATCATAAAGATTATAGAATATAATTCTTTTGTAATAAATAAATTTATTTTTTTTCATTTGACAATAAAATTTGATAACAAATAATATAAATATGAAATTTTGTTTAAATAGTTCTAATAATTTGAATTTGTTTTATTTATATTTGTTTTAATATTACCAAATATTTAACGATATTAATAAATATTTAAATAAAAGAAATTAATAAATGTTTTATATTCTTGTATATGCTTTTATTTTACAAATTTAATTAATAAGTAAATTAATATTAAAAAATACTAAAGTATCAAAAAATATTTTGTATAATATTTTTTGATGTGAAATGTTTTATGTTATAACACATTAATATTACAATAGAAAAAATAATTGAAACAATTAAAAATCACTTTTAATTTACAATGTTAAAATTACCAACAAATATTTAACTAATTACTATCTTATAAACAGTGAATGTAACGTTTTCGCGGCAAAATCTACGCGTAAGTAAGTATGTAATCTCTATTGATTGGTTAAATTATGTATAGTTTAGTACTATTTGCATAAAAAAAATTCATATATTAATGTTCAGAATTATATTTATATCATCGATATCTATTTTTTTATTACATGTATAAGTTATAAATTTTAGTTAATAAAATGAATTATTTTAGTGATTAAACATTTTGTAATAAATTTTATATTTTAGAAATATTTATTATGAAAATCAATGAAATTTTTAATATTTTTAATATATATTATATTATAATTATATTTATAACTATTACTTTTTCAAATTAAAACACTATTATAAGTTTATATATATATGTATATAAATATAGAATACATGCATTGAATATAAAAATATTCTCTATGCAATATTCCCTATTTCCCATATTCCCTATTTTTCAAGCAATCCTGATAGATGTATAGAAAACATGACATGTTTATTGCTTAACAAGCACGAAAGTCTTAGCTTTTAGATTTTTTAGCATATTTGTGTACATAATATTTAAAAAATAATGAAACATAAAAAATATAAAAACAAATCTAAATATGAGAGAAAAAAATCAAAAAAAAAAGAAAAAAGAAGACATAATAAGAAATCTAAAGAATCTGATTCTAATAGTGTAAGTATTAAATATTATTGTGTATTTGTTTACTTATTTTTTTCATCACATTTTAATTCTATTTTTGTTAATAAATTATATAGAGCACAAACGAAGAAGAACAGGAATGGGTAGAAAAACCAATATGTGAATTCTCATTTAAAGAACAAAATGTATCTACGTCAAAAAAAGAGGGATTTTCTAAAAGAGAGGATTGGATGAACATAAAAGGTATACTTCCATGTGTGTTTAACGAGAAAAAGAAAGAATTTTCTAATTCTGATAAAAATATTGATAAATCTGATATGAATAATTTGAATCAAAATAAGAAAGAATTAAATCCATATTGGAAAAATGGAGGTAATGGTCTCCCTGAAAAAAATTCAATAAATGCACAACCAAAAATAGATATAAATTGGTTAAAAAAAGGTCTTCAACGAGCAAAAGAACAAGCAGAAAGTCAAAATAAAAATTTAAAAGACATTGTAGCAGAAAGATGGGGTGTAAGTATAAATCAATTAAATAAAATTGATTTTAAAATATAAAAATTATAATATATTATAATAATTTATATAGCCTTTAGAAATGATAGAATCAATGATATCTGAATCAAAAGAATCGCCAATAAAAAGTATATCCAAATTTGAAAATCAATATAATAATATTGAAAAATGTGAAAATAGACAATTTTCAAATTATATACAAAATTTAAACAGAAATGATCAATATAAAAATGATAATATCACTTTAAAATATGAAAATAATCAAAAACAAGAATATAAAATGCCAATAAATGATGATTATTTTAATAATTGTTCAAATAAAGTAAACCATTTTATTGAAAAAAATTTAAAATGTAAAATATCAAATAATAATGAAAAAGAATTTAATTCAAATAATCTTATATTAAAGAACAGTTGTAATGATGATACAAATATAGAAACAAAACTTTTGACAGAAGCAGAAATGAATAAGTTAGGAGCAAAAATTGTTAAAGCTGAAATAATGGGTAATATTGTACGTTATTTATATTAGATTTTTATATTAAATATGCAAAATATATTAAAAGATTATAGAAATGATATGATATCTTTTTAGAAACTTGCTGATGAATTAAAAATGCAATTACAAAAAGCTAGAGAAATTATACAAAATACACAAATATGTAATATTGAAAAAATTCCAGATATAATTCTAACACAAACTGATGCAAAAGGTATGTAATAAAATCAAAAATAATAAATTAAATAATTAAAATAATTAAATTATATAAATAAATTATATAATAGGTATTACAAGACCATTAGAACCCAGAATTCAATCTATAGAATCTTTGCAAAATATGAAACGAAAAAATGCAGAAACACATGTTTTTGGAAAAAAAGTGAGACATTATTTTGATGATGACAAATATTCATTACAAAAATTAGTAAGTCCTAAAATAAAATATATAATAAAATAAATAATAATTAATAATTATTAAATTAATAATAATTAAATGAATAGACCTATTGAAATAAAATTTAATATTAATTTAATTAATAATATTAAATCTTGATAGATTTAATATTAATATTTTTTAGTTCCAGAAAGAAAAAGGAAGATCTACAAATGAAGATGATGCAACATTTATGAAGGCTGCTTGTAAGGTATATCATATAAAATTTATTTTAAGAAATATTTTATAAAATAATAAATATATAAGAAAATTTATTTTAGGGTTTAGATATGGATGAGATATTTGAAGAACATATTACATATATTAAAACAGATAGAAAACAGAATGAGAAAGATCGTTTAATTGCTATTAAGGAACATGAACATTTATCAAAAAGTTTGGATGATTGTCACTGGTGTATTGATTCAAAATATATGTTGAAACATATGATTATTGCAATGGATTCTGAAATTTGTTTAAGCCTTCCTCAATATACTTCTTTGACAATTGGACATTGTATAATAACACCTTTACAACATATTGCTTGTCAATTACAATTAGACGAAAATATTTGGGAAAAATTAAAGGTAAAACATTTTTTAAATATTGCCATTTGATATAATTTTAATTTTTAATAATTATTTTTAATAATTTTTTTCTTATAATTGTTTTATTTTCAGTTATTTAAAAGAATTTTATACAAGATGTTTATGGATCAAAATCAATATCCAGTGTTCTATGAAATATACAAAAGTTCTTACAAATTTTCACATATGCGATTGGAATGTGTTCCAATACCAAAAAAAATTGGTGAATTAGCACCAATATATTTTAAAGTAAATATATACATAAATAACAAATATAAATATTTGATTTATTGAATTACTGAGCATAACATTTTTTCTAGAAAGCCTTATTAGAATGTGAAACAGAATGGTCAATGAACAAAAAAATAATCAATCTTGAAAATAAAGATATACGTCAAGCTATTCCAAATGGTCTATCATATTTTATGGTAGAATTTGAAACAAATAAAGGATATGCTCATGTTATTGAAGATGAACATATGTTTTCAAAGAATTTTGCAGAGGTAATTTTTGTTTTTAAATATGATTTTAAATAAATATAGATAAATGATTATTTTATAATAATTTTTTTAATATCAAATATTTTATTGTTTGTAGGAAATTATAGGCGGAATGTTAGATTTAAAACATAATATATGGCGGAAACCAAAAAAAGAAAATGTTGATCAGCAACATGAAAAAGTATTAAAATTTTCAAAAATATGGAAAAAATATGAATATGAAATAAAAAATTATAATTAATTATGAAATTACATATAGAAATAGATACATATTCTTATTACATAGCAATTTCGATCTAGTTAGATAGTTTTTTTTTATTATTATAATATTTGCAGAGTAGAAAATTAGTCAGGTTATTATTATTATGTTTAAAAATTAGATTGCAATATTATTAATTATAACAAATAACACTTATGTGTTCATAAGTTAAATTCAATTATGTTAGTTTTTCCATTTTTCATAACAATGATAAATAATAATTAAAATAATTTTAAAAGTTGTAGAATAGTATTTTTCTTAATAAATCTAAAACTAGGTGTAATTAAAATTGACTATTCAGATATATGGAATATTAATATATTGAATAATTTTTTTTTATCATAATTATAAATTTATTTTAATCTTAGAAAAATCTTATTTTAAATTAATAAAATGTTATTTACATAATTTAATTTTAAACACAATTTTATAATATATATATTTATCATATATAATATCACAATATTTCATTTAATATATTATTTTATTATTTATGTTTAAAAAAAACCTGCTATTGGTATCTTTTTAAAGTATTCTTTCAAAATAGAGGGAAATAATGATAAAACTTTAAAACGAATTCCCATTTTATCTTTATCCATTATCATGTGATATCCAGATTCTAATGACTTTCTTTCTTCTTTTGAAGCATTTTGTAAGAGTATTTGCAATCTTATATTAATTCCAAGATTTTGTAAAAAATTTGATTGACTCACTGGTCCAAATGTTATTAATCTATTATCTTTTTCTGCAATTTTTTTAATAGCTGCAAAATCGACATCTGCTGTTAAATCAGCAGTACCTGGATGTAATAATGGATCATGTATTTTATGTTGAGAAAATCCACGAAAAGTATCAGTTTTATCACCATTATGACCATAATCACAAATTAAAGCAAATCCACCACATTCCCATAAAAAATCTGCTAAATAATCCACTATTATCAAACTTTCTGGACTAATTTCAATATGTTCTCTTTTCTCATCACTCTGCAAAATATTTATTAAATTATCTTACATATTATTCTCTTGAAAAAAATATAAATAATATTACCGGTATAAGCAAGGTAGCAGGAGTTGGTGTATTTGATAATACATAACGAAACTTTTCTTCGTTACATCCTTGAATTATATCAATTAAAACTTCTCTCCATTCATTGTCAATTTTCTAGATATAAATAATATGTATATATACATAACATATTAATAAATTATGTTTAAATTTTTCATAATTTAATTAATATACCTGAAATTTATGAATTGGTAATGCATCAAAAAATTCATGTGCTAAAAATATACTAAATTTCTTTGGTACATCCTTAATAGAATAATACCAATATAATTTTATTCCATCTTCTGTAGTACCTTCTTTATAATAATTAATAGAATTATTTTTAGATTTATTTCTTTTTTGATCATATTCTATAATTGTTTTACATAAATTCTTTGCCTGAATCTGGGATAATATTGAACTAACTTCTACCAAATGTATTGATATATCATTTAGAAATTTAAATTGTTTAAATACCTATGTAACATATACAATAAAGATAAATTTATAAAATAATATTTTAATATATATTTAATACATACAAAAATCATACCCGCAATATATCTTTAATTAAAGTTCCTCTACCTGGACCTAATTCAACAATTTGAAAAGAATCTTTTGAAATCTTTTGCCATTCATATTTTATCCAAACAGCTAACATCTAATTTAAATTAAAATAAATAATTAAAACAAAAACTATATATTAAAGTAATATAATTCATATAAATTTTTAAAAAATTAGACTTACATACTTCTCCAAATAATTGTGAAATTTCTGGTGATGTTATAAAATCACCTTGTTTTCCAAAAACATCTTTATTCATATAATATCCTATAATTGGATGAGTTAAAACTTCTTTCATATAATCAGCAACTGTAATAGGACCACAAGCTAATATTTTTGAATATAAATGATGATAAAGATTTTTTGATTTTTTATCATTTAAGGTTGAAAAATTATATGGCATATGAAACAAATAATATTTTGAATAATTTGTTAAGAATAAATTGTTTTTAATAAATTTTGTATTAAATATATTCTGATATTTTATATATTTTTCAAATATTAGCAATGTAATCATATTATCAAGATTTTTAATAAACAAGTTTATAGGTTATTATATTAATTTAAATAACTATGAACTTTTTTTTATAAAAATAATATATATATATGTAAATATATAAATAATGCTTTAATATTATCAAATTACTAATATTTGTTTGAAATTAAATATTTATTATATATTTTATTTAAATATAAAAGAATCATAAGTACGCAGAAAAAATAGTTCCATAATTTATATTTCTTTTGAACAGATGGCAGCAAATATTTTTTTAAATTAAGATTAAATGTGAATTATTTTCTATATTAATTTTATAATCAACAATTGAAGATATAACAATAAGTATCAATACTAATATTTAATTTTTTAATATAACATTCATGATAAAAAATCCAAATTAATAATTTCTAGTTATGCTTATATATTTTATTAATATTAAACCTAACCTAAACCGATGATAAATGTAAATAAACTGTACAACATAACAATGCATACAGAAAATAAATGGGTACGAAAATGAAATTTCAAAAATCTTTACCACCATTAGTCGAAGGCAAAATTCATGGTTATTTAAAACTTGTTATAGATGAAATTATTTGGTCAAAAAGAAGTTTTAGTGAAATCAAAATATTTTTAACTTGGTGGGGAGAAACTGATAGAACTGAATTTAGGTAAGATAAAAAATTTATATTTTGTTAAATAAAATAACTAAAAAAATTTAAATTACATTAATAATAATTTTTAAATCCTTAAATTTTTTATTTCAATTTAATTTATATATTATTTTTTAGTTTATATAAATTTTTTCTATAATATAGATTAAATTATTTAGTTATCTTTAATTTCATTTCTTATGTATATTTTAAAATATATATTTTTTTACAGATCAATAGATATTACAAAAGATTTTATAAAATCACAACAAGAAACAACTGAAATTTATGTTATTCGTACAAATATAAATCTTTTTGAAGAATACATTAAGAATTGTGAACCTATAGAAGTAATAATTATTAATAAAGAGACCAATAAAATTATTGGAACTTCACAAATCACAGATTTATTACAGATTCTTAAATATAAATCATATTTTAAATATGTACCAATAATAAGTAATTATGGAACTAAAATAGGAGAAATTCATATTTCTATGAAATTAAAATATATAACAAAATCTTTTAATATGCAATTAAAGACACACAAATATGAAAAAAAACAAGCTGATCATAATATTTTAATCTCAACTAATAGTAATAGTTTTAAAAATCAAGATAATATAATGACTAATGAATATAATAAAAAAGAAATAACAGAAGAAAATAATACTTATAAATCTATTTTAAAATTAAGAAGAACAGAATTTCAAGAACCTGTCAATAAATTGAAAAATGATATAACAGATAAAATTATTGCTCAGATTGTTACAAAAGCTCAACAACTCAGAGGAGCTTTATATAAAAAAATTTGTGATGAAGACGAGTTAATTTTTAATGATAATTCAATAAATAATGAATTACAAACTAATATTTCTATAAATGATGAAGTAAAGTTACATGAATGCTTTTTGAATAAAGATATGTTGTTATCTAATGAAAGCAAAACACATACATCAACATCTTTAAATTCAAGTTTAATAGATCTTACATCTAATAGTTTAAAAATCTCTAAGTATGATAATAAAAGTACAATAAATAATATATCTTCTACAAGAATGAATTCTTTAATGAAAGACACATTTTCAGATAAAAGATTGTATATTAATTCAAAAGGTTAGTTAATTGCTTATAATAATAATAATTAATATATTTTAAATTTTATTAATTTAATAAAAATTATTTTCTATTTTAGATACTAATCTTTTTGATTTTATTACTTATATTCAAATTAATATAGAATCATTTACTTTAAGTTCTGCAGGTTATAGACGTGTAAAATCTTCTTCAATATCACGTATGTAAATTTGAAAAATACATATATAAATAATAATTTAAATTTATTAAAAATATATATTGTTTTACAAAATAAATATATTTATTTATAGATAAAGATGATGTCTTTTTATCTGCAACATATTTTGTTCAATATGATATAATATTTGATCATATTGATGAATTTGAAAAAAAAAACAAGACTGTGAGAATATGTTCCAAAAAACAAGCTAATCAAGGTAAATTTATACTACTAAATATGCAATATTTATAATTTTATACAATTTTTATAACTAATTGTATATTTATAGTGATCTATTTTAACCATAGCAATATATATAAAATATCAAATTTAAAATATTATAAAGGATTGTTTATAAAATTTAAAATATTTTTTCGCCATCTTAACAAAAAGTTATTAATTGAATTAGGAAATGGTACTATTAATGTTTGTAATATCATAAAAAGTGAAAACTTGAAATCTGCACAACATCTAACTATAGTTAATAAAGAAATAAAAATAGGAAAATTATATATAATTATAGAATTAGGTTCGGATTCTAATTATTGTGAAAGACAATATATTGGTAAGCATATATGAAGTAGAAAATAAATTACTCTAAAAATTACTCTAAATCTTTTATATCTTTTTAGATAATATAATTTCTACTAAAGAAAACATTCCTATTTTGGATCCACAACAATTATTAAATGAACCTAAAAATAAAAGTAGTAAGAGTATTATAGAAAATCAATCTAAAATAGGTAATGAAATATTACCAATTTTAGATGGAGCCCTAACTACAGATAGTTCTTCAGTAAAGAATGTATCACAATTTACAACAGAAATAATAGATGATAAAAAAATGGATACAAAAAATTATAAAAATACAGATCTAGATAAGGTATAAAAATATGATTTATGTTATAAATACATATAGATTGATTATTTTTAATAATAAAATAATCATTATATAGGTTTTACTTCATGGTTTAATATATGTATTTGAAGGATTAGATTTATCAGAGTTAAACACATATTTAATATGTAGAGCATTTTGGAAAGAAGATAAAACTAAAAGTCAAATCTGTAACAATACCAAAAATCCATCATACCAATTTTGTCAAGTAAATATTTTGTAGATTTGACAATTTATATATATTTAATAATATGTATATATGTTTAATAATATTAATATTATTAATAATATTATTTATATTTTTATTCTAGTTAATTCCTCTTATTTATGATAATGATTTATTGGAACGTATTAAAGATAATTATATAATCATTGAAGTTTATTCTAGAAATAATAATATTGATAATTTATTAGGATTGACAAAATTATCTGTACATCAATTATATGTTGCATATAGAGATCCACGAGTATTATCTTATTTGATGTTATCTAAAGTATATCTTTTAAAATTAATATAATTTTTTTTAATTTTTAATTTTAATAGCTTTATAATTTTATAAAATTTATTATTCTAGTATCCAGTAATAAGTGTAGATGGATGGGTCCCAATTATAGATCCTGTTTCTGGTCAATCTTGTGGTCAATTACTTGCATTGGTAGCTCTTGGAACTGCTGAACAAATTGCATTATTAAAAATGTCAAGAAATTTGCAATCTTTTGGAATATCTCAAATAATGAATTTAAATAAATTTTTTGATCTTAAAAAACAAGCACAAGATATGCAACATAATATATGTAAAACGCAATTAAATAAAGAGGAAATTTTACAAAATAATTCTCAAATATATGCTACTAATATAACTAATACAATTAAAAAAGAATTATATTTTCCAAATTCGGAAAATCGAGAATGTCAGACAGATATCTCCATTATTAAAGAATTAAAATTTAATGGAAAATTACAAAAAAACATTTCAAATTCAGAACATTCGATTTTACATACAGTTGATTATTTAACGCAAATTTCAAGTGTTAACAAAAATAATATAGACCAAGCGACACAAACTGACGTAGATTTGAAAGAAAAAAAACAAACAAATAAAGAACGAATATATTCGAACGAAATGAACTCTAATAATAGTTTTGATGATAGTGATAATAGTAGTGTTAAGCACAACTTTTATTTACCAACAGAAATATACAGAAGCGTTGGAGTTGGTGCTGAATACAATGAAGAAATCAATCAACAACCAAATAGTAATCACAGTAATACAACATTTGAGTTATCAACTATAATTCAAGCAGAAAACGAATCAATGAATTCCACATATAGTCAAACAATGTTTAGAGCTATTGTGGAAATTGAGTGTGCTTTACATTTACCAAAAATAGAAAAAATTGATGGAACTATTGATCCTAGTACATATGTATCCTTTCAGGTCAATCAATCTAATCATGCAAACCATTTAAACTCATACATTACTAATGTTTTCCCATATAGTTGTAATCCGAAATGGAATTGGAAATGTGATACACAATTACCAACAGAATTACTTTTATATGTATGTAATTTTCTGGATTTGTAAATAAAATTTTTTTTTTTTAATTAATTTTAAATATTTTTTTTTCAGGATAAAAAGAGATTAATTTTAAAAGTTTGGCGGATATTAGATACAGATATCAGTATGCAAATAAATTTGGAAAATGATGTTGTTCTCGGATTTTCTGCTATTGATCTTTCTATTTTAAAAAATGGTTTTCCAACAGTGTCTGGTTGGTTTCATATAATGGACTTTACTGGAAAATGCAATGGACAAATTAAAGTATTATATATTTCATTTATATAGTATTTGCTTTTATTTTATTTTTTATTTAACTATTTATATTTTAGGTATGTATAACACCATTAGATAATTTATCATTATTTGGAAGATCAATAACTCGATTACCAACATATTCTGTGACACAATTAAATAAGATTCCATTATATGCTCATGAAATGCATTCTCGTGATATTGAACGAAATAACACCAATTATACTTTATCAACAGTTGTACAAAAAGAAGAGAAATTATTACATAATGAAAATCAATCAAATGACTCAAATACTCATATTGATTTTGAAGATGTATCAATGTCATTTTTATCCTTATCTTTGAAGTAAATTAATTTGATTATATTTTCTCATTTTACAATAATATTTTTATATAATTATAAGCTCGATATTTATATTTTTTAGACAAAAATTAACTGAATTAGATGAAATCACAAAACGTTTAAAATCACGATTACATGATATCACAAGTACAGCTTTCGAAGATGATTTGGAAAATGAATTTGAATTAACCAGCGATAATGGAAATAATGATCATAAAATTATCGATCCAGTAGTATCTACAATGGATTATAATAATAAAATATGTTTAGATAGAAATACTAAAGAAAATGAAAATGAAAATATATCAAATGATACAACAAAATTTAACATTCAAAATTTCTTATCAAAAACTTATATCAGTTGTGATAATTCAGTTAGTTGCGAAATAATAAAACATAATTCTTCTAAAATATTGAATTCTTACGATAAACGAAATTTATTAAATGATAATTCTAAAATACAACAACAAAATGAACATTTAGTGCAAAATATTAAAACATTAGATGATACTTTTATTGACTATCCAAAACAAGGAACTAAAACACATATAAACTATTTACTTGATAAACTCTCTTCATTTCCTGCACAATCTTATTTAACTAAAATTATGCCAATGGAAAAAGATATTACTAATGTATTAACAAATTTACCAAATAATAATTGTTT